TGCTTAGTGAGGTAACGGATGATCCTCACTGGTAGCATGGTTTAGCGCTGGTCAAGGCTTTCTTTAGATCCATACCGAAGCTTACTATCACGAAGAAAATTGGCTGTTGAGAGACAAAGTAGGAGAGCGCCTCTGTGGTTGGTTTGAATATTGTTCGATCTCCGCCCTAAGGTCAACAAAAACTAGCCTCACAAGCATTCTTGAACGTTAAACTGGTACCAGAACGATTCGTGAAGATTTATAGAACTACTTTTTTAGTGGCAGATCCTCAAGTTATGGCAAAGTTAGTCTTACATTTACTACCATTTGAGGTTACAGAAACGAATACCGCTGCTGGACACCGCTTTCGCGGACTAGTGCCCCTCACAAGGCATGCAACAGCTGCGAAAGGATCAGTAGTCCGCTTTTTGGCGGTGCTGCCTACTGTAGAGTAAATGGGTTTGGCGCATACAGTGGGTATCAAAAACCCCAATTCTTCCATTCTTCGAGTTTGCTAATCCAAAAAAATAATCATTAGTAATGAAATCTATCACTCAAATGGAGTTTCTTCATGTCTTTTACTTCAGCGGTGATATTGTTGTGACTGTCTTCTCCAATGAAATTCGAAAGTCTACCTCAAGTAGATTACTGCAGCATATTCGTATTTGTCAGCTCAATGATAAAGCCTTGCTAACCGATGCGCTGGGGCTTTTCGAAAATTTCGTTTTGATTTTCACAAGTTATTTTTGGAGACTCTTGCAGATGAGTTGATTTTCAATAAACACTATAGGTTCTGATTTCTTTGACTTTTTTGAATTTTTTCTAGAATCACTATCATCTGAGCCATGTCGATTACACTAATCATCAGAATCCATGCAAAAGTTTGTGGATATAGCTCGCCGTCAGCTGCTTGGACTAGAGAATCTTTGAATGCGCTTGCTTCGTGCAACATATCAAGTTAAAACAATCCTACAACTGTTGCAAAGTAATCTTTGAGCTTAGAGTACATTGATGAATGTCAGTAACTCGACCAACACCAACCAGCTCTATTTCGTCTTTTGTATATTCTCGAAGCTGGCTACATTGAGTGAATCTAAAGGCGAGATTTTTATTGTTAGATGGATAGCAACTAGCGCATCTCTGGTGTCTAATAACGTTCTGGAAGCCTTCTTAATTTCCGAGAAAATACAGAAGATTATTGCACGGGCTGTATGCTTAATATTTTGGTGGTCAAAAATTTATAAATATGCAACAAATGAGAATTTTGAGGATGTTCGTCAGTTTGTCACGAAAAGCTGTCAGATTTAGCAAGTGGTAATTCTAGATATCTAGTAAGCTAGAGACCCTGTCTGATATGTTAGAAGGTTTGCATAGCTCTGAACTGGGCTGTTGAATCAGTGACCTTTGGAGAAAGGGCGCTTTACCGTCTCCCTTAGGCATTCCCCTCTGAACTGTTCACGGCCAGAAGAGCGGCGTCTGATTGTGTGTGGCGCGAAGAAGCGCGAGCAGGTGGCGGGGGCGCGGCACTACGCCACGAGCGGACACTGACCACTCGCGGCGACGTGCTGCAAGGAGCCGGCCGATGATGCGACGACGCGTCATTTCGCATATCCCGAATGTTTCCGCTTCGGAATTTTCGTGTAATATATCGTGCTTGTTGTCGCGGAATTATGTGGAGGCAATCAATTTGTAACGGCGCCGTGAGCGGCGGCGAGCCGCAGCGTCGCCGACGGCCAGCGTGGCCGAAAGAAGCGGCGACGACGAAGAGACGCCGGCGGCCGCCATCGACGAGACACTCTCGGCTGGCCGCGGCCGGCGGCGGCTTGTGGCCGAAGCATGAATGAAACGTCCGCTCAGTCGGGCCAGCACGTCTACACTCACTCACTCACTTCTTCCAAGACGTCATTCGCTGTGCGCGGCTGGATGCGCCGCACCACGTCGTCGCAGACTTCTTCGTCCGGCCCCGGCTGGCTCTGTTCGGCGCATCTTTGATCTAGGCACTGGCTCCAGCTTGCTTTTCGCCTTTTCGCTGGCCGAGGAACCACCGCACACCAATCATTCACGTAACTGTGATTACGGTAGTCTTCTTACAGTATCTCATGTCTCACAGTGCCTTCGAAGCCAGCCTAAGGTCGCTCTTGACAGTATCCCGGCATATGCAAATCTTTAATTTGCATATTTACTCCCAATAGTTTTTAATTATGTATGGTTAGTGGCCATACTCTTTGCCTTTATTAGCGCTGACTTCACTTGCTATGGTCAATTTGCAATAGTTCACACGGTTTTAGTAGCGACTTTTATGAATTTTTTAAGGTTTTTGTACATCTATGCATTTTTTGCAGTGTCCCCCACATTCATGCTTAAACTTAATTCTTCTTAAGTGAAGTGAAAGCCACTACAACTAAGGGCTCACATCTGTTAGCAAAACACCCCCACAATCATTTTTTAACACTATTAATGACTAAATAATCTCATATTTCAAGGTTGAGCCTTTTGCCAAAGATAAGTGTTGAAGTAAGTAATTTTAGATCCATTTATATACACAAGATGAACTAAAATCATCCATTGATGGTAGGAGATTGAGGTGAGCGAAAAGCGAATATATATGTCCGTACATTTGTATATTTCAAGATTCTGTAACTAGCTTTACTCAAAGAATCTGACCATTCGTTGAGGTCTATGTTGTCATAGGCAGCTTTTGCGCGATTCTTCAACTAAATTCTTTTCTGAGCATTTCCATGGAAATCGAAAGCTTTTGACATGCATTTACGAACTGTTCGATTCCTTAAAAAATTGACATTTGGAGCAATCTTCGAGTAGTGTATCAAAACTGTCACTGAAAGCGTTAAAAATATATTTTACAAATGTAGTGTTATATTCAATTACTTCTCTCGTAAGACCCAAAAATGGCAACCGATTGCCAACTACTTAACTGGATCCAATTTAAGCTAACCACACAATATTGAAAAGTTTTTTTTTTCAATATATAATTTCAGACTACTTCCATTTATATATGCTTTTATTCTGATTAATTATTATCTTAGAAGTGGTACTCGCAGAATAGATTGGGTCCACATTAAGAACTTCTTTTGACCTGAAGCAATTTGGAAGGTAAAGGTCAAAACGTCAAAATCTATAGCCTTTGTCAGCATCGTATTCCACTCCGATTATTTTTGCTACTCTGGTCTTGATTTCAGCAAAAAAAGGATTTTTTGAGTTACTAGTAGTAAAACATGGAATTCTACACGGAAATAAGTAATTACTCGAAGTGGTCGAAAAAAAAAACCAGCAGTGAAAAAATTAAATGTACACTGATGTTTTATTTTATGTTTGACGGCGGCTAGAGTTGTTCATTCTAGAATCCTAGGCTAGTGAGACGATTTTTTGGCCAAGTTCTTTGCGTAGACTATTTTTTTTAGCCCTTTTGCCCCCTGAATGATTTTGTTGAGTTTTTGACATGTTCCAAGGCCAAAGCAGACTCCAACGCTATGTCGGGTCTTGTCTTCCGCTCAGCGTTGACGACAAGCAGCAGAACAAGAGCAGCAACGGCAGCAGCACGATGACGGCGACGTGGTCGTCGGGCCGGCTCGGCGCTGCCGGGGGCGCGGATGGTTTGCTGGCCGGCCCGCCGAGAGCTGCGGGGGTTTCCATCAGGACTGCACGGGGGGAGCGCGGGGGGAGCTCTGCGTCTCTCGCTGCGCGTGCACGTTTGAGGAAAGTTTCGGCGAGCCTGCCCGCGTCCCTCCGTTCAGCCAACGATCCTTTCGTACGCTTTTCTTCCTCCGTGCCAGTGTTGCAATGCTCTATCGATCTGCACGCGCCCCTAAATACCGCCTATTCTGCGTTTTGCTCTAAAACTTGATCTCCTCACCCCCTAGCTCGAGCTCAGTGTCTCGGAGAGAAAGCACGATTTTGTAGCCGATCTGAGCACTGCTCCGGGCGCTTCACGCCTTCAGGCTGCCCTTCGCGCTCTCGCGCCGACTCGCCGTCGGATTTCGCGCGCTGTGCTAGTCAGGCTGAACCGTACACTCCCACGGGTTGAACATTCGCAACTTCAGGAAATTTTTCGGTATTATGTAAATTCTCTACAGTACATTATACAATTTTGTATACATATATACAACAATATTCTCGAGGTCCCTTCACATTAAGTATAACTTTTCTATGACTTTTTATTCCATTATGTTTCTTTTGAGAATTTATTTGTTCCCATTCTCCCTATGGGTGGATATGCTGCAAATTCCGACCTGTAATATCAATTAACCAGCTATATAGTACCAAGAAATTTTCTTGTTTCAGCAGTTTCCTTCTATCACTCGGGCCTGTAATCCGATCTTGAACAAACGATTTTGTGCTTATTTCACATGATCAGTCCTCTTTTCCCTAAAAAAATGCTAGTTAATCTGGCTTTGGTAGAGTTTGTACTGCAGAACAGCCAGAGTAAGCCATGCTTATGTTGAAGTTTAGAGTTTTTTCTTTAATGAACGACGTTGTGAAAAAAAAATTCCGCAAATACTATTTTGGCAACGACTCTAATGATGCTTATTATAAAGTTCAATTATTGGAATCTAGCTTCAAAATATACTCCTGTTCTTCTTAGAGTGTGTATGCCTAGCTAAATAATAAGTTTTTTTTATCAGGTGCATCTGTTTCCTAGTATAGAAACTCTTTCAGAATATTCGAGAACAATTTCTTCTGCTGGGATCAACTAGTTTGCCCATACGGGTCTTTTTTTTTTTCAAAGGAATAGTTTTATTCTCTCATCCCCTTCCTCAGTTATAAACTTTTAATAACATGAAAGGTATTGAAAGGGGGAGGGGGTATTGCTTTTAATTCATCTCCACCCCCCCCCCCCCCGGACCCCACCTCCCTCCGTCCTCCTCTAGCCATCACCCTGAAGCATGTTCTACCCACTTCATCTTCAGATAACAAAGCAATTGCAATTCATTCTATGCAGAAACTTCCTAAATCTCTTTTTTTCATTGTTATCTAAACATAGCACAGTGGAGTTGATTTTCCTGATGTCGCATGAATATGCTCTAATTCTGGATGGAGCTGAGCGGCTCCGACCACTCCCAGTGCAGGCATTTCTCCTTACTGATCTATATCTCCTAGTCAGAAGTTTCGGATTTCTGGAATAAACCGAACTTTTTTTCTATAAAATCATGTTCCCTCTACCTAAAAATCCCACCCTTATCTCCTCCTTACTTCAAAATTGCTCATCTGTTCCTGTAATTTTGATGTCAGTATTTTTGCCCCTTCCAAGAGTTCTTAGCAGTTATAATCATTGACTATTTTTTTATTTGGTCAGCTGACTGGAGGCTTCAGCTGCTTGCGCACTGCTCTGGTCATATTCTATCATTTCATCCCGTACTTTCCTCTACCTCATGCTATTTTCGTGCAATCCAGAATGATTAACTCAGTGTGATTTTCACGTGTAATTATTATCCTCAATTTTCAGATGGAAATAGGCCGGTGATGACAGTCTGAAAATATCTTCCGCTGTAGGGGAGACAGGTAGAGAGATATCTATTTTCTGTGTTTTTTATTTATTTTTCTAATTAGTGAAGCTGTGCAAAGTGTAAGGCAGTAGTAGTGATGTGTTATAATATTAATGTCTTTTTATGGTTGGAATAAAAATAGAATGGAATGAAGACTTTGACCTTATGCTCATGAAATCGTAGGTGACCTCAGCAAGAAATTTTCTTGACTGCTGTCTTCGAAGCTCCGCCCACTTTCTTTTGCTGGGTGTGAATCGTTGCTGCACGTCTTAAAGTGGAAGCATGTTTAGCGAATATTTTTAAGGACTTAGTCGTTTCCTCCCCAAATCCATAAAGTGGGAATAATATTGCCTTACCATAAAATCTTATTTTGCGAAAAAATACTGCCCTAAAACCTAGTCTGTAATTGCAGAGAGACGGCTCGATGACGGCGGAGGGCCATAACGTCGATGCGAACCTTTTGAGTATAGGTCGCGATCACGGCCATTACTTCTCAAAAAAGACATTTGGCAAGCCGACGTACTGTCACCATTGTTGCGATAAAATATGGGGTATGCTAACGCAAGGATACGCTTGTGAAGGTAAGCGTTCTTACTGACAAGTGCGAAAGGAATGCATTTTCAAAAATTTTGTAAATTCAAAATTTGTTAATTTTTAGTCTGCAACTTTGTGTGCCACGAGAAATGCCTGAAAACCGTCGTTTCCTACTGTAGCGGGGTAGCATTGCAACTTATCAAGGTAATTTTTACTATACTGAGGCTATGTCGAGATAAGTACGTAATTGCGACTTCAACTACATAATTCAGAATCCTGTTGCTCATACGTGGTCGCAGCCGGGCTTGATCAAGCGAAAGTTCTGCTGTGTTTGCCGAAAGCGTACCGATGAAGCATTGTCGTTAGAATGTGAAGGTGGGTCAGAAATTGTCCGTAAAATTTTTTGTGACAGGAAAATACAGTTTTGCGACAGCCAAATATAATAGATGTCAAGTGAACTGCGGTTCTGCAGCATTGCCGCATATAGTCTGTTTCACTCCGGTAGACCGAATTTGAAATGGCGCGCATTTTCTCATTCTCTTCTGCCGCTCCACATGAAATGCTTCGTCTACACCTGGTTGAAAGAGGCCTCAAAAGCTTTAAAAACTTTATTTCTCTTCCTCAATGATTTTTTTCTTCGTCTACAGTTCTCTTTTTTACTATGATGTTGCAAATTCTCTTTCATGAACAGGTTCACTATATAAGAGTAATTTTCCCAATTTTTTCGATATGACGTTCATGATGTCATCATCAAACTACCATTTCTTTGAGGGGGCTGTGAAGCCCAAAGTTGCCTTTTTCTTCTTTAGCAAAAAAAGCACTTGCTTCCGATAATTACCCTGAAACAGGCAACTTTGAGCAAAGTGTCAAAACTTTGCACGAAACATCGATCAAAAGGCGCTATGCATTGGAAGCCGAATGAATAAAGAGAAATCGCTTGTATTTTTGAGGTATCGAGATTACGATTAACAGTAATGATTTCCAGTTTGTATCTTTCTAATTTTGCAAAAATCCGCAAACTTTTTTGCAACGTGAAATTTTGGTTTCTTATAAAGCATATTTGAAACGTATATGATTTGATGATGTTTATGGGGATGTCAAAAAATTCAAAAAAATACAAAAGGTTTGCCGGTTTCCTTTCTATACTCCAAAGGGATAAAGGATGAGTAAGTAGTTTCAAGGAAGTATTCTATAGGAAGGGCTCAGGATATTGAAATAATAGTAAAATCTACATGTTTTTTACGCTTGTTAAAATTCTGTGTTCTACACACTTTTGCGTCTTCAAGTATCCTCAAGTCATTTCCAACTTATTGTGTGGGTCTGCACACTATGCGCGGCAACCGACGACACCCTCACTGGTAACTCCTCATTAAAACCTTTTGTAGCGCAACAAATTGTAGAAATCTGTACTACTAACGATTATGTACCCAATCAAAATAAAAGGTGACAAGGAAACAAGGAGAAATCGGTGGATAGAGCAGGTTCTGATCTTGCAAACCGTCAAGTAGTGCGCATGGTGTGCAACACGCAACCTATACGAGTGATTTGACGATAAATTTCTCGGTTTTGCGATTCAGTGGGTAGAGGATTATATGTTGCTGAAAGGGGGTGGTCCCATGAGGATACCTGCGACAAAGCGTAGCCCCATACCACAAGCATACAGAATTTGTACCAGCTGTCTGCGCGGGGTGGAGCCTATCGGCGAGATATAGTCCCCTAACACAGCTCAATTAGAAGGAACTTTTTTTGAATATATACCTATACAATTCCAGATGTCCTTGAAAATAATATTTGATTTCAGTCTGCGAATACTACGTGCACGTGGACTGTTCCGATCTGGCCGTATCCGACTGCAAGGAAGCTGCTACCTACGTCCCGAATTTGGACAGTGTTCGTTATTTCTGCATTTCCCGCGCGCAACTTCCCCATTCAGCCCCGCCAGCTAGCCATTATGCACAGAGCATTTATCGGAGGGATAAACGGTTTCGTCATCGTATGCCCTTTGCGATTCGGTTGCGCGCGAAAATTTCGCTTCTGCTCGCCACTTTCGCGTTCAGCTTCGGCCCATGCTAACAAGGACATTAAGTAAAAAGTGACGTGTGGACATCCTAGAGCTGGCTCATTAGAGAAAAGTCGATAGCCGAGTCTACATGCGCACATGCATGCGCGCACACACACACGCCATACACACATACGCATATCTGTGTTTGAGCTGGGAGCTTAGCACCATGATAAGTGCGATGAGAAACACGAAACTTTTCACAGAAAATATGATGCTGATAAGAGTACGATAATATTAGGTTGGTCCATAAGCAGGGCCCGGCATGAGTTTCTTTCTAGGCTTCTTGAGAACGAAGTTCCCCTCAACTTTCGCGAAATTTTACGAAGTCCCTTTTGACTTTCTCAGAAAATTAGACCTTGACTAAAAAAACGTCGTAATTTTTTGGCAACAAAAAAAGATATTCCCTTCGCTTTTTTCGCCCCAAAAACGAAGTCCAGCCTGCTTCCATACGATCTGCGCCGGGCCCTGTCCACAAGTCTTGCACTGAAATCCCTAAAAGTCGTATTTGTGCTTTTTGTGCTTTCGACGAACTACTTGTTGTGCGCTTTCTCCTAGTGTTTGAAGTGAGAATTCGTCGATATTGGCATATCACGGTTTTTTGGTTTTTAAGAATGATGATGGCAAAGAATCTTTTCTTTTTGATTTTGGTTTTATGACTTACATTTTTTGACTACGAGGAATTTCTGGTGAATGCTACTAGTAGTTATGAATTTCGACTTTTTGACTTGATATTTACATTTTATTTCGAACAGAACTCCTAATATGCATAGATGATTAGAGCGCTTGCTATAGGTTTCAGAATATGAAATATGGTAATGCACAAAAAAGTCTTTATATTGTGAAAGTGTTTATCGAATTAGAATCAAATGTTATTTTTAATAGTTTGCAAATTCGACCATTTTGGTTGCTCGATTCGATCTTTGGCCACAGAGAATTACGCAGTTTTGAATGTGAAGCTAAATTCATTAGCGATTATTTATTGAAAAAAAACATACAATTGTGAAATTGCGGTCCTCTCGGGTAAAAGCTTGGTGGAATCTTCACTGCGTTTTGTATTGCGACCATCCTAACTAGGGAGGGTTTGTGCTGATCAAATGCCTCATTTGAATGTTGTCATAATTTAAGAATTTGCTCTTTGACTTGATTTTCAATATGCCCAATACTGCCATACTATAATACATCTGATCAGATTTCACAAAGCAACTATTTTTCCAGAATTTTTCACATGCGCAAAACTTATTTTCAACCTTAAACTTTTTGAAAAATTCGAAACTCTAAGGTGGTCGACATGAAAGCAGATGTTATTTTTGATTATGAATGTCTGCTCCAATGAAAATCCCAGTGTACTTGCTGCCAAACAGTGGCACTGCTTTTTAACTTTTTTTCTTTGATGTAAGGAGAAATTTCTGATATCCACACGCTCTCAGGGAAACGAAACGAAACGAAACATGTCGCCTCGAATCGATATCAAAATTTCCACTTATTTTTTTGGTTTCTTGAATTTCACTTACATCCCCAAATCCAGGATCATAATGAGCGATTGTCAAATTTTTCATTAATTATCCTTCACCTTGAATTTCCAGACAACCCACGAACAATACCATCACATGCGTGAGGGAAATTTGCCAAAAGACAGCAAATGTACGGTGTGTAAGAAAAGTTGCTGGTCAGCCGAATGCCTTGCTGGGATGCGATGCGAATGGTGTGGAGTGACGGTGGGTGATTTTACTTTTCCAAAAAAATCTCTAAAGTTTCTAATTTTTCACAAAAAATCTGAGACGGTTCCATATTTCATGTCGTTACATCTTCGAATTTATGTTTTTTTGAAGTCTGTCAAAAAAGGGGAAAGGACGTTACGTCTTCGATAGGCTGATTACGCGCTGCCATTTGTCACAAATCATGCCCCGTTGCACATTGAAATCTATGCCAGTTGTACGCGCAGGCGGGGCCTATCAGGAACATAACCTCTAACCACTATAAAATACAAGCCTTAGAATATTTTTCATGAAATTTTTGAACACCGAATTACAGGCACATGCTGTCTGCTATCGACAGATGCCAAAAGAATGCGATTTTGGCGTTCTACGAAAAATTCTGTTACCCCCGTCATCGTTGACTATTCCACGAACGGAACTACCGATGGAGCAGCTATTGGCCATAACAACAAATGAACCTCCTCAGTCGCGTAAGGGTCAGACTGTTGCACTATCCTTTCCTTTCCTGCCTTATTGTGCAGATATTTAAATTCTCTGGAACGTATAAGACATAATAAAAACTACTCTTTGTGACTCTATGACTGAAATGGGAGCTTTTGTCAAGTATAGAGGGTGTTCTTGGCCATTTCTTGGTAAAAAAATTTTTTTTAGTTTTTATAAAGACATTTCTTGCAGCCTATTAAATCAAGTGGCGAAACAGTCATGGAGCACTACTCTATTTTTCAACTTTAGTATGACTCAGTAGATTTGACAAATCAGCATAGCGTCCTTACGTTGGCGACAACATTTGCGCGTAAACAATGACAATTTTACGCGCGAATTTGCAAGCTGTCGGCATTCATACGCATGACATTTGCTTCCGCGCAGAAGTTGTCATTGCCGCAAGGACACTACAGCAATTGTCTACCAGACTATGCATACATCATTTATTTGGCAAGCACATAACTTTGGCACAGTTTTACTGGAAAAGACGTCTATATACTTGTAAGTTTTGTCCTTCGCTTTGTAAACTTTTGCCATCTGGTTTTCTATCTGACCATCAACCAATCTACAGGAAATTTATTGAGAAAAAAACAAGACGGTAAATCTTACCTCTTTGCTTACTATGAAGACACAGTATGCCCTTTGCAGAGAAAATGATTTTTTTGCTCGATAAAAATCTGGATGTAAGTAATTTTGCTGGTAGTAGTGCTTGAGGAAATCCTGAATTAGGAATCCTTGCGAAGAGAACCGTTTCCCCTACTAAATCGCATAAGTAACGACAAAGCTCCCATTTCATCAAATGTTTCATTCTATACAGCACAGCACGGATAATTTACTCATACCTGACTCGTGCATTTAGTTTTTGTGTAGTGGTGTGGGCGTGGAAGCACGAATCTGAAAATTTTCTGGGGGAGGTTCTGAGCAAAAAAGGGAAGTACTGATCTGCTGAGGAGCCTTTTTCAGTGTCATCGCCATCGAAAATTCAACCGGACGATGTATCATCGTCTGGTGAAGACATGAAAGAACGTGAGGACACGGAGATTTTGCGGGTTTTCGATGGTAACTCATCGTTACGAGCACAAATCTGTCGAACAGCGAGCGTTCCAAAAACTGCTACAGTGCAGCAGATTCGCGTAAGTTAGCTGGGGAACTTTTCTCCAATTTTCGATTTTTCTCAAAATTTCTGCCTTTCAGGACACGGCGATGCGACGCTTCCACATCACTGATAATCCGGACAACTACTACGTTACCCAAGTTGTCAACGATGGTAAGTTACCCAATTCAACATGCTCACCCTACCATACCCATGGATCTCAACTTATTCAGCAGGTGACGAAGAAACACTCGAAGATCCGGTCCCGTTGCGAAATGTGAAGCGACCGGAAGGTCGTCGTGCACAGATCTTCCTTAGGTACAAAGATGATCCCGACAAGGATGTGGTCAAGCTCTATGGCGGGTGGTTAAGGTACGGTAAATGATTGCATGAGATTACGGTAGAGAAGTTTACGTTTTAGGGTTCCTGTAACGTTTTGTTCGTTGACCGTAACGCGTGACACTTTGGTCCAGGACGCTCTTGCTGATGCTTTGCAAAATTTTGGCTTGGATCCTAGCACCTGGAATAGGTATATCTTATTATTGAAGGGGTAAAAAAAGAAAATGAGAATTTTTTTCAAGGTATAATCTAATAGAAGTATCACTGGATCGGGGTGTCGCTGAGCGGACTTGCAATCCTCAGGAAAACATGCTACAATTGGTGCGAAATCTGCGAAAGGTCAGTCATTCTTGAACATTTATCGCTTGTGGTAAAGATGGGTCTTGTGCAAAAGGCGAGAAGTTCAAACTTCGCGCCAAAAACGGCGTTCGCCGCTAGCTTCTTATGGCGGGCTGTGATTGGTCAGTAGGGTCCTGACAATGACAGCACGCAGATACTGTCGCCTTCTCCCCCTCCCTCCCATCTCCCTGCAAAATAGCTCAAGCATCCTATTTTAGGACTCCTTACGTCGATATCACGTCGTTCGATTCTATGTGCAAGAAAAAGAGGATCCACATGATCATGCTGTTTTCGTAGGAAATCTTCCTGTATCACTGGCCCAACGACAATATGAGCGTATATTGCTCAAGTTATTGGGCGCGAAAGGTAATATTTCAAATTGGCTCTGATATCAAAAGCACATCCAGCTTCGTTCAGAAAAGCCATTTACTGCTATCGGTCCTATTTATTTTGAATATGGTTCACTAGTGATTACCTTTAACACGCCAAAAGCAGCGACGGCAGCTGTGCAACGGTTGCAGAATGCTATCTATGAAGATAAAAAGCTCATTGTGTTGTGTCTTCCAAATGTTCAGGTAAGAAATACCACAATTTAACAGCACCGCTGCTTTATCTTCTATTATTTCCAGCCCCATATGCTAGCACCAGACGCTGAACCGTTACTGGTCTTAGTGAATGTGAAGAGCGGAGGCTGTCAGGGTACGGAGTTGATTCAGTCGTTTCGGAAGCTACTGAATCCGTTCCAAGTTTTCGATGTCCTCAAAGGTGGTCCACTAGTTGGGTACGTTTCTTCTCGGAGTGATTCAAATATAGAAGAGTCAGCGCACGCAGAGACTGGCTGCAGTTGCGTCTGTCTAAGACAGTACGTCTTTGGAAGAGGCAGCAGACGGCAAGAGGAGTGAGAGAGTGCATAATTTGAGAGACGCGGACAGCATCCGCAGTGCGACCTGCTCTGCGTGCGATGACTCGACAAAATTTTCAATTATTTTCTTTAGGCTTTACGTTTTTCGCAACATTCCCAAGTACAAGATTCTTGCATGCGGTGGCGATGGTACGATAGGATGGGTATTACAATGCTTAGACATCGCAAAACAGGTTCGTGACAAGATTTATGTGCAAGTAACATATTTCCTAACCGAGTGAAGAAGCTATTCTTTTCAGGACGCGGCATGCTTCTCACCCCCGTGCGGCATTGTCCCACTGGGAACAGGCAACGATTTGGCACGGGTACTTCGGTGGGGAGGCGGTTACACCGGCGAAGAGAACCCTTTGGATATTCTGAAGGTAATGAGAGGAGAAGAATCAGGTTCCATCGTTAAAAATCAAATTCTAATCTCTAGGATGTTATCGAAGCTGACGAGGTACGATTGGATAGGTGGGCAGTAGTGTTTCACGAAGAGGAGCGGAGTCAACCTCCAAATCAGGTACGAAGGTTCCGTCAGGGTTAGATTATAAAATCTTCATATTTGCTATTTACTTCGGATTCAGGCATCTTCTGCGAATCAGGCTGAAACGGACCAAACGATGAACAATCCCGAGGATCAGACGAGCATGATCATTATGAACAACTATTTTGGCATAGGGATTGATGCGGATGTTTGCTTGAAGTTCCATAATAAGGTGAGGAGAGGGAACTTCCAATTCAGAAAGCTGTAGATCAACACCGAAGGAGCATGCAGGCCTATTTGCACGACCGTAATGCAGTCAGGGTAATTCCATATAGGACCGCAGCCATGCGCAAAATACCCGACTGTACGAACTGTCGTGTGTATGGCCATTCGCCCTGACGACTAGAATTTGCTTAAAATGAGTCACTATTGTCGCTGGATGTGTTCAAAATTGAATATAGACACCTTCTTCTCAGCAATTTCAAATCCCTTTGCTTGGCTATTTTATCATCACCCATCTAAAAAATTTCCTTTGTCCCCTTTATATTTCTTCCTACGAATTCATTTTTTTGTAGCGAGATGCCAATCCCGAGAAGTTTCAATCGCGGCTGTTCAACAAAACGCAGTATGCAAAGATCGGTCTAAGAAAAATGTTCTTCGAACGATCATGCAAAGATTTGTGGAAGCGCATCGAGGTTGAGGTGAGAAATTACTTTGGGACTTTTCTTTTCTTCTTTTCTTTTAGCTGATTCTTAGCTATGTGTTATAGGTCGACGGACGCCCTATTGAGTTGCCAAACATAGAAGGAATTGTCGTGTTAAATCTGCTCAGCTGGGGAAGTGGCGCAAATCCTTGGGGTACAGCCAAGGAAGAGAGTCCATTCCAGAAACCTACACATTACGATGGTCTTTTGGAAGTTAGTGCGGTCTCTACGGCTATTTCGCACTTTAAAGACAGCGTCCCGACAAATCTGAGTATCTGGGTTCCTGTGTGGATATTTTGAAAGAACTTAACCACTCTACAGCTCAAGCGAAAGCTTGAACTACTCACTTGTTTATCTTCGCCCAGACCATGCGCCTCAATTAGGGTGTACGGTTTGGGCGAGAATTTATAGTCAAATTTCTTAGCTGCGAGTGAATCAATTGAGCTGCCGTTTGGATAATGTTTCAGAGTTCCATTCACTTTCCACGTAGAACACCCAGTTACCTAAATTTGCCTGAACACTGCCTCTAGTAGAATTCTATTGGTTCATTACTCAGGTTGTCGGCATTTCTGATGTGTCGCGATTGGGTCTTATACAGTCAAAGTTAGCTGCCGGTACAAGAATTGCTCAAGGAGGGAGTGTAAGTTTGATATTTTGCTTATAGTCCCAGAATAACTAAATTCATAAAGCTCAAGCATTTCTTTTTAGATCCGCATAACCACTCATGAGGAGTGGCCCGTACAGGTCGACGGTGAACCCCATATTCAACCACCTGGTACAATAACCATTCTCAAATCCGCACTCAAGGTTAGTTTTCTGATTCAAAAATGCAAACAAGCACTCCACGAAAAAAAGCTCCTCTACACTGATATAATCGACCACCGCTATCTCTTTGCATGCCATTTGCTATTGTGATAATGTCCTTGTCTTTGTCGATGTTCGTGAATTTGTTGACATGCATAAGAAGACTTTTGGGGAGCTTCTTCGAATGCTTCTTCTTTGTGGTTTTTGTTACACAAATACCCATATTTTACCTTGCAAACTTGTCTGCGCTCATATCCAAAGAAGAATATAATTCCTTTTCGTAGAAAAATTGTTATATTACAAACGCGCACATCTGCCTTCATCTTTGAATAGAGGAAACTGCCGCAAGAAGGCGATTGTCCCATATAAGCGAAGCGGGTGCGACGCGGTTCCATCGTCCGCGCGCATGCGGAAAAGGCAGCCAGTACCTTGCGACGCGCTGGCGCCCGTACAGCTCTTCAGGCATCTGCCTTCTTCTGGCAAGGTTCATACCTATTGAGATCCTGATTTAAACTAGTGAGAAAATAGTGCTGATTTGACAAATTGCATGTTGGAATCCTCAGCTCATCTTCTTCTGTGTGGTCCCAAGCGTATTTCTGCTTGTCGTGACAGTGTGTAAAAGCTTTTGTTCGCGCTTGCCGCTCTATCGTGCTAACCGTGGCTGTTTAGGCGCAAATGCTGAAGAAAGCGAAGAAAAGTCGCCGCGGCGCGACCTCGACGCAGGTGCGAGCGGTCGCGAGCGAGGGATCGCCATATGGTCCGTTGGGAGTGCCATCGTCTCTGGACGCAGCTCACGGCAAATCCACGCCAGAAGCGCTCGGCGATTCGGACGAAGAGGGCGACGCCTTTCTCTAAATATGCTTTTTGTGTCCGCTTGCTCCAAAATTCATACACTGCTCCGTCGTTGGAAAAATTCTTCCCGTTTGTTTTTCTTTGTTTTCTGAACGCATTCTTCACTGGCTATCTCTCTTCATCTCCACATTCCGCAACAATTCTCTTCACCAGATTTTCGCTTTCTTCTCTACATTTCTACTTAAACTAATTTATTCCAACATCCCGGTTTTCTTCCAGGGTCGGCAGCAGAATTTCTGTTGGCTTTAACTTAACGGCAATGGGCACTTGCTCTAATATATTAGGTGATATATCATGAACATTATTCCTCTCACTACTGCTAACACTGCTGAGGTATATCGCGAGAATTTCTAGAAATTTCGCAGCAGCAGCAAAAAGCAACCCAGTCGTATCGCTATTTTATTCAACGCTCATATATAGGATTGTATAAAGTGTAAGTGATTTGCACACAGTAGTTAAACAGTGTTTTCTGTTCTCTTCGGTACTTACTAAGTAAGCCCCCCTCCCCCATCCACCAATTCTATCATTGTTTGCGATATAAGCGCTCAGCAAGCAATCATAATCTATATAATGCTGCGTTCTGAGTTTCTTGTGCTAGCGCTGTCTTCAAGACGTGCCATACTGGTTTTTGGCTTCCATAGATGCGCCCCGTATCGATCGGTTGACACGGCGCTGGAACGGCGTTGGCGCGGACAACTCTAGACGCCACTTAAGGTGTCGGTGGCTAGAGCTTGCTAAAGTCACTGCATCTTCAGCTACTTTGCTTCTAATCACGGTAGAATCGTAGTTTGTGCATTTTCAATAGAATTATCGTGAGATCAGCTAGAAATCTTGGAATTTCATAAAAGATTTAGGTTTTCTATCACTCACTCATTGTTTTCCAATAGCGCGGACACCTATCCTTTGAGAAGTGCCGCGCCGGCTAGTCCATCCCACGCCGGTTCGACCCTCACGCTCCCGGGCTTACTGGTTCATCCCCCCCTCCCCCACCCCCACCCCAAAGCTTTGTCAACTCTCCGTCATCATTTCTGGTCTCTACTTGATCTAGTCTGTTTCGGCTGAAGTTGCCCGCTTTCAAAATACTTAGGTCCGAATTTTTCCGTTAGGACATCAGAGTTTGAAAATTTGTGATCCATCATTGCATCATCGCCATTATCTGTTTTATACGATTGATATAGTAAGGACCATTCACCTCATGACAATGACATTCCCCTCAAATGCGAATTTATTTGTCATCTCAAGGTTTTCTGTGAACTGAGCGAGAATCACGTGATGAAAAACACTGAAATCAATGCCAGTTTGACACGAATCTGACTCTCTAAATTGTTTTTTTGCTCTCGCAATTTATGTCTGGTACATTCTTTTATTTTCGTTTTTTTCCATCGATCCATGCCCATTCTCCATGTATTTTTTTGTCGTTCGTACGTACACTTATGATAGTTTGCTTATCGCTGTACGTCTTTCTGTGTTCATGCTTTAGAAATGAACCAACTATAAGTGAAAACCATTCCTTTTGCGAAATGGTTGCAGCAGAGCAGAGTTTATTTGTGTAGTGAAATAAAGTGTTTTGTGCGCTGTCTATGTGTTGTGTGTAATGCTGAATGGCAACGTTGTTTCATTCCTTTCAGAATTTAGGTAGATAGGATTATTGTATGAAAAGAAAACAAAAACTTGATTTTGAGCAGAGCTGATATTCTCTCTTCTCTAGTAATTAGCATACTCACTTCTCAGGATCATTTGTAAAAGTCTGGGAAAAAACAGTTCTTATCAATGTAGATCAAAAATGATGGAGCAAGAAGTTCTCAGCAAATTTAGTTAAATGCTTAATACAAGTATAAATTAATCATGCTTTCTGAAACTGGGCTTACTTGATCTCGCTTCTCTTGAAACCTAGGTTCCTATGCAGAAAGATTTTTCCATGTTAAATTAGGTTTTAAAACGTGATAAGATTGAGAGCATGAGAAAAAAAGTTTATCGCGCAGCTTTCCCACGCTTCCATTGGTTCCATCAAGGCTGTTTTGCAAGGGTTAGTGTAGCTTCGTACTGTAGCACACTTTCAAAGCACTTTCTAAGCAAATTTGACGACTGCAAAATTTTACTTATACTGTGGTTTCAGTCACTGTGTTAATACAGGCTCGGGAAAGAAGAAGTTTTTCGCAACTGAGTTTTCGCATTGAAAATTGAGGTCATAAGCGAAATCCTGTACTTTTTCAAATTATAAAATTTAGCCGTTATGGCATAAAATCTAACTTGGCAAGCCCATTACTCATTTAAGATTATCAATCTGGAAGTCATATGTGACATCATTACTGTTAGAACGGTCTAATAACAAAGGAGGCACAGGTAAGAAAAAAGCAACGAACGAAAAGCACCGCCCCTCTCAATGACCCCGCCGTCTTCTGCATCTCTTACTACGAAAGTGAACGATACTTTTGTGAGAAGACTTTGAAAATAACACTGGGCTATATCGTTGTGGTATGGAGCTTGTTATCCTAATATATAGGAGTTAAGAAGATTCGGAATACATTTATGCGTTCTTCTTTGATTTCAATCCACTGTAACGTAAATACGTGAAATTGCAGGCACAGATGTTGCGAAAACCTCTGCGATCGCGCAGTGGACGGCTACGTAGCGATGGCGATTCCGTCAATCGCGGATCGCGAGCGATACTGAGAGTCGCATCGCGAAGTCGCACGCGAACGATCACTGCACCGTTGGCGACACCGGAAGACGACTGTAATCGTACATTTGAGTTTGGAATGCAGATTGGAAGGCGGCTTAGCAGAAGCATTGGCAGGTGGGTCATCAAAAAAAGTTGCTTTTTTTAAGAAGGAACGGGCTTCTTGCACTTTATCCGATAAATGGTCACCTCAGTTGGGGCGGAGCGGGAGCAGAAAACCGAGGGAACTGTGCGTGTGTTTGCTCGTACATTTCCGAAAACTCTCATGGTGACCAATAAGAATGTGATAGTCGTTGAAAGTCTCACAAGCTTTTATCATACTCAATTCTTTTATGGTCATCAAGCGTTATGCGAAAATTGGCAAAAAATTTCGAAAAAAGACCAGCTTTCGTCTATTCAGAATTCCTTCGTCCCTCCCCTGCTTTTCTATGATGAAAATGATTTGCACCATTGCTAAAACTCCCAGAAAATCCATCCTTTTTACATTTGGATTATGTAACACTCAGCTTTTTCATATCTGTTATGTAAGCGCGTCTCAACTACACACTTTCGAAACAAAAATTCTCACTTGCTGGACATCAGCAAAGACTTTCGCTTAATCTGACACTAGCGATAACACTAATCCCCCGTTGCATAAAATTTTGATAAGATCTATACAGGTAGGTGAAGATTGCTATCATAATCCCGATTAGTGGAACTAGCTGCTTTTGCCGCACCGGACTGTATAGATATGGAAAGTGGAGATGACCTTTTCAGTTTGACGCAGTTTTGCAGAAAACGATTAGAAGTTATGTTTACAAATAGCTTAAGTCACCACAGTTGATGTTTTTGGCACCTAAGCTAGGAGATGGGGAATTTATTCGGTCTCGTAGGATTTTGTTATAATTAGAAATCTTTCATTCTTGAGCAGTACGTACCAGCGGTGCTCTCAGAATTTTTTCGGGGAAGAGGAGAGAGGGCTCGGACGAGCTGGCACCAGGGAAGTTTCAAAAAGAAGTCCCCTTTGACTTGAAAATTTCGTACGAAGTCCCCTTTGACCCTAAATCCCTAACTTGGAGGACCCTCAAATAATAAACGTCGACTAAAAAAAAGTGGCAATTCTTGTGTCTTTTCGGCCACAAAAACGATATCTCCTTTGCTTTTTGTCCCAAAAACAATATCCAGCTTGATCGGTGCCGCTGTGCCGAGTCCTGGGGAGGGGGTCCAAAAATAAAATTCACGGAAAGGGAGAGGTCCTCACAATGTTTAATTTCTATGAACTTTGAAAATTACCTCAGATTTAGTAAAAACAAGTTTTTGCATCATAAGGAAGAGTCGGAGCGCCAAAGTTATTTCTTAATTTCTGAGGAACCAGTTTATGGGAAAATCCAGTTACTTTCGCAAACTCTTCTTCCACCCTCCGTCCACGCTCCTCAGTTCTGCTGTTTTTCCAACGGTTATTGCTTCTCCTAAGCAATATGCACTCTTAGAACAAATCTAGTCCTAAATGAAAACAGTGTGTTACAGATTTGAACGTCGCCATTCGTTGGGTCGAGAAAAGCCACGACCGCAAACACCAATAGCCAAGGAACACCATTCGGCTGTTGAATTTACTGATATTGAACCATCAAGAGAGATTTGATGAAAGGGAATATCAGTTGGAAATTGCATTTTGTTATTAGTAGTTGATTTTCTCAAAATGATTCTCGTATTGATCTCATAGAATATATTGAAAAATTGAGTATCCGTTCTCGCGTAGTAGATTGTTCCTAGTAGAATTTAAGCATTGGCTCCAGAGTCGATATAATTTCTGTCTGTTTCCTATTTGCTTCATATGGAATGATAATATGCTCGACGCTTTTATGGAGAAATTTATTTACTTGTGTTGCAGTACATGTTTGTTCAGGTGCTGATTCGTTAATTGAAGATAGGCAGACTCTGAGTTTATCAAAGAAAAACCTTGATAATCTAAGTCACAGACGGAAGATTGTAATATTATATAAATAAACTTTGTGGTTCTTCTTCAAAACAAATGGAGCTGCTTCACTGGTCACGAAAACTATCTCTTGTACGAAAATTTTGTCATAAAATAATTCAAAATATCATAGATTTTGACATCTGAACCAATTTGCGTGATTTTGATTTTATTTCAGAGAAAAAAATCATGGGATTTATAAGCTGCTACCCACTATAAGTACGTCTTGGAGATGGAGCCGAATTAAGTAGTAAGATCCAAGCTTTGATTTACATAAGTTACGTCGTCAGAGAATCAAAATGTTTCAGTAAATACCGCAACGTCAGTAATATGAGTTTCGCTAGTTCAATGAGTGGGTTATGTTGCGCCAATCAAACGTTTCTATTAGAACTTAAGAATTCCAAGAAAATGCAAAAAAAGGAAAAGTATAAAGACTTCACAATGCATTAAAAATACAGTGTTCCAAGAATTGTGCACATTGTTTGATCATCAATAACTCTTTTGATTTGAAGTCTTTCGGCGAACTTTAGGTACCGTTGCCTAGAGCGAGCTTCAACTGAGATTTACAATATGAAGCGAATCAGAGCGGTCTCGCCCTTTATTACTGTAGGATTATGGTAAGAACTTTCAGTACATGGAACCATTCAAGAAAGGCCGTCTAAATCTGAAAAAATGTGTACAAGGGTTTCCGCGTATGCTAATTCTATTACTACATTCTATTACTTACTACACAAATCTTTACGAGTTAGTTTTATTGCTAGATGTAAACACATTTCTGACAAATATCAGAGAAACGGTCATTACGGTATATTTGGAATGATTCATGAAAGAAGCATCACAGTGAAGTACAGATTTCGTGACTAAATTCAGCGACTTGATTAGCTCGTATAAGAGTTTTTGGCTTGTCTGCTTTTCTTTCTGAAGCAAAACATGGCTCTCAATGGCTTAAAATCCTTCTCAAAATTTCTACCATAATCTACAGTAACGAAGAACAATCGCGAATTCGCTTTTGACTGTAAAAGTTGAACCTCACTCTGCAAAATGGTACCGAATGTTCGCAATCAACAAAGCAAGAGAGTTATTGACGATCTGACGATGTGCACTTTTTTTTGTGACACCCTGTATAATGTTAGTAACAGAAGTTACAGTATTTTGTGCCAACCTGAGATTTACGGAAGCTTTTCATATTCTTCTCACATATTTCATTTCATAAGTTCTGGAATCAGTAATCTGGTTTTCTCCCCGCCCACCTGCCCCCCCCCCCTTCACCGCCCAAATGTTTCAACTCGCTGATAACACGGTTTGAGCATTAAATAGACATTGTATCAGCAAGCTATGAATCTCGTACTTTTTTCATGCTTCACGCGTCACCCGCTAATTTCAAATCTGAAATTTGAAAAGACCAAATAATCTGTTTGGTAGACATCCTTATTATGTTTCAATCCTTATTATGATTAACTTGCAAACGCTTTGTCTATCTAATCCGGATAACTATGAACATGCTGATCATTTCATGAACTGGGATAAAGTTTCTGGGTCTTTCATGGATAATAAAGCAATTTTAGAACAACCAACCCTTTTCTTTAGATTCAGCTTTATTTTTGAATTATAAAAAAATGTTGGCAACTTTTTAGTCATCGATTTTTATCTCCGAGCAGCATAGGACAGCTGATCCCATGCTTCCTCACTGAAGTAAACAAACATTTGGCATTGTCGCTTGCAAATAAAAATTGAGAAAAACTGGAAGCAAAGCTTTTTTTTTTCGATCTTGGATTTTCAATATGATGGCTTTTTATGAAATTGATGTTTTGAAAAGAAGCATTAGGTGTTAAAAAAATGCATAATACTTAGAATTCAATCTTTTCGACTTTTGCTATTCGTTTCTCTTAAGTCTTTGCAAATATTGTAAATGAAAAAAGTATTGAAGACATTCTATGAACAAATCTTGTGAATAAGAGGAGTAGAACACCAACAGATTTTTGCATAACATGAGCAGAATTTAATGCTAAGGCATAAATACCGATAGTTGCCATCCTTTATCACTTATCAGTCCTAGAAAACTGCCACAGACAAGTTATTGACCTTGAAAAGAAATATTGCGGTGCGATATCAGACGTAGTTTCCGGATCTTATAATTTTTATACAAAATATTGACTGAATTTGCTGCTACCCACCATCATTTTCCATTGACTTATAGACGACGACGGGATTGTTCTATTGAGGGTCATCAAATCATCAGCAACTCCACGCTTTCATAAATTCGATCGTGTAAAGCTAAATTTGACTACCATTATTCAACGTGGTGTTTTTGCACTGAAGCAACACTCGCAAAGTATTTGCGCGCAACATGGTCTACAATTGCAGAAATCATTTCTTTTCGATGAATTTTCAATGCAAAAGATTACAGTTGAAGAGTTGCCTGTAGTTTGTGTTAAACGCACGTGCAAGTATGGATCTGCGAATACGCGTTGCGCAGCTCTTGCGCTGCGTTTGCGAGCGTTGCTATCGCAGGAACCATAACGTCCATTTGTAGCCAGAAGGATTTTTTTCGTGAACCTCTCCATTTTACTATTTTCACGCTTATCGAGCTGTATACTGTGGAATTCATAGATTGCAGACAGTATCACAGACACAGAACGCAGAAAAGTCTCCACTTCCGCGAAGATCTGCTGCAAATCATGCATCTTCAGCACTATGTCCGTACCAGTTGTCGCGATTAGGAATTTAGTCATCCATTCAACGTTCTTCACTTGTCTCCTCTGAAAACTTTGCAGACTAATACTGTACACTACTACCGGTAAAGTTCTAAGCCCCGAAACCGGATACTGTAAAAAACGGGAGAAAAACATTGAATTTCTTGTGCTCCTATTTACTTTTAACATTTCTATCAAATGCCTTTCATTACAAAAACAAAAAATCTGTCTGCTGTAGAAATTCGAATTTGTGACCTTTCACACTATTGTTGTTTAGTGGTTGGGAGACCAATGATGACGATTTTGGGACTACTGGCAAAAATCACACATCATTACGCATTGCAGTTTGTGCCAGTAGCAGTCTTTGGCTGTTTCTATCCAGAAAAGCCTAGAAAAATCTTTTATTCAAAAAATTGTAATCTCGTCAATTTCCATAACTTGACATAATATAACTTGAGTTCTGCGTAAATCCAGTAATTTTGCAGTGCACGTAGAATTAGAAGGGACACATGGAAGTGCCAAGTAGGATTCTTTTATTGAATCTCTGTCTTCTGGCAGTGGTCACAGCAGCTCCAGAATGGGACCGGATAGAATCGCTACCGAATCTTACCGAACCTATGCGCTCTAGTCAATATTCGGGGTACCTCAGTATATCAACGACAAAGCAGCTCTTCTATTGGTAGGCTCTATCTCATCGTAAGAAATGAAAATATTTGTAATGATTGTGAATTTAGGTATATAGAGTCTGAAAATGAACCTGCCAATGATCCAGTGATCTTGTGGCTGAATGGTGGTCCTGGATGCTCTTCTCTGGAAGGCTTGTTTGTGGAAATGGGCCCATTCAGGTTGGTTCACCGATATCTGGCCTCTGCTCTAGGAATGATACTTGCACTGCACACCGTGCGCCATATTCTACGACTTATATGATCACTATTTGCTTTTTTGCTAAGAATTTTTCGTTTTTCACTTTTTCCCTTCTGATGGATAGGTTTGAATAGGGGTAGATAAGCGCCTTTCAGCAATTTCACGCATCAAAACGGTTTTTATTGACCGCTTACAAGTAAGGAGGAGTGGGGGATGCTGCTTTATGTGCGATTGCACAATTAAGTTGTAGGTAAATCGTCTTTGAGAAAAATTTTGCAGGGTAAACAACTATGGAGAAAGCGTCACCAGAAATCCATGGACATGGAATCGAGTGAGTTCTCAGCTAATTCTTGGAATTTTCTAGTAGTGAATATTTTTAGTATGCCAATATAATCTATCTGGATGCACCGGCTGGAGTTGGATTTTCCGTTCGTCTCGATGGTCTATGGAACTACACAGATGCAGAAGTCGCGCAGGATAATTATGCGGCTTTGAAAATGTGGTTTGAGGTAATTTCTACGATTTCCCACTCTTTCGACTAATTAGCTGTTTTTCAGAAGTATCCTGAACTAATCAACAACGACTTCTACGTGGCAGGAGAATCCTATGGTGGGACTTATGTACCAATGCTCTCTGTCTTGTTACTAAACGATACTAGCTTAAATTTCAAGGTAAGACGAAAACAGCGAGTAATCCATTCTGAAAATATTTCTAGGGCATGATAATAGGCAATGGATGTGTGGACGACGTTCTCAACCAAAATTCTATTGTAGAATTCAATTATAACCATGGAATTATAGATGAAAGGTTAACAGTACTAATTAGATTAGTCTCGCTTTATCATTTTTGGGGCTAAATCTTTTTCAGTTACTACCGTCAAGCCATCACAAAATGTTGCAATAACGATCCAGATAATTGCGATTTCTACAAAATGACGGTGAACGAGACAGGAGTCTGCTACAATGAGGTAAATTTCGCTAAAAACAGGCCGAATGCGGACTCCTATGATGCTCAAGACAGTCAGGAGCTAAATTAAGAACAGTATTGTTCTTCTTCTTTCGTCATCAATGGCATAATTAACAGAGAAGCCAAAGTTGCCCGTGCCAGCGTCGTGACAGCGCCGGAACGTTAACTGTTGAATATGGCGCGTCCATGTGAATTCCTTTGAAGCCCTAGCACGGCGCTGGCACACCACCGGCACACTGGAACTCTGGACGCTGCCGAAAAATACTAGATACAAGCGCGCTCAAATCAGCAAGTAATCTTACTGTGGAAATCTTACAAAGCCAATCCAGTCTTTCGTGGCTGTTTTGCTTGACTGAAATATACCATAACAGAAACATTGAGGCAATCATGCATCTACCATTTCAGGGAAATAACCTCACAACGGCAAATTTTATGACTGGACTTGACCCATATTTTCTTTACTATTCGTGCTATTTGAACCCCAGCGATGCTCCCACTCCAACCCAAGTAGCAGCTACCACATTACGGACACATTTCCGAAGGATGAAGAATTTAAACGTATGTACATGAGCAGAATTTTCTTCTGAATACCTTATATTGATCTATACCTAACAGGCTCAACCTGCTTGTGCACACTATAATGACTCAACCGTATACCTTCAACGCCACGACGTACGAACAGCTTTGCATGTGGTTGAAACAGTACCACCTTACCAAAGTTGCAAGTGAGTATAAAATATCTTTTACTCGGCAAATCGATATATTGATTTATTGTCATTTCAGTGATAAAATAGCGGAGAGCTACGATTTTGGCGCATCTCATTTGCTTTCACAACACGATAACGTCAAAGAAGTCATCGATGCGAACAAAACAGTCAGTCAAATAGATTTTAGGGTTATAGAGTGTCTTTGCGGAGACGACACATTTGTGATTAACACATTCACGACAACGCCAATTTTTTGATTATTGCCGTTTAGGACCAGAGCCTTTTTCACTTTCTCAAACTCACGGCCCACTCTTGGGTCGTATTGTCCGAAATGGTTCTTTTTGGAAAAAGTTCAAATCATGTCTCCGAGAATTTTCCCACAGTTATTTCACGCGCTGATCACAATTATAGGGTCTACTTTGTTCAATCCTGTTCCGCAGTGAGGCTACGGTAGCAGTACGGGAAAAGCTAATTTTGTGAAAATCGGGAAACTGATGTAAGAAGGTGGTATTAGAACTTGAGATCATCATTTTCGTGATCAGCATGCTACAAAATCGGTATATATTAGATTCGAGCTTTCTGAGATGAACAACACAAAAAATCAATAAAATCAATAAAACCGATAATTTTTTGGTGGGCTAGCGCAGTCTCTTGCCTGCCCGTATCGTGAATGTACACTTGATTTTCCAGAAAATCATTCTGTAAGGAATTTGAGCTAAAGTGTATACTTTATATCTATCTATGGTGTACCCACCGTTACAGTATTCCGAGCCCGGACCACTATGGCTGAGCTCTGTCTAGGTGTCTCTAATCATGTGTCAGAACCGAGTAGAATTATGTCTTAAATTGGCGGAGCTAGAGCTTTAGGAATCTTACGACCCACCGGTGGCTCGTATTATCCGAATTGACAGGACACATACGACCCACCGTTGGGTCGTATTGTCGCGAATGTGTTATTGTCTCTGACGCACAAAGCTTAAGCGCATCATGCGCCTTTACAAGCAAATCCGATTATTTACGCACAAGTGCTGTCGGCACCGCAAAGGCATTATATGCACCTTTGATTTTGAATCTATAGTCTTGGCAGTATTTTCTGTCATAAAAGTGATTTTCTTACTTTAGGCGCTACTATTCTACGGTGATACGGACAGTCTCTGCAACGCAGTCCATGGATCGCAATTTGCCGCCAAGCTTGGACTAGAAGAGCTCAACCCTTTACGCCCCTATCACGACGAGAAACAGCTTCCTCCGACGATTGGTCTTGTCACTCAATACAAGGGTGATTTTGAGAAAAATTTGAACTTACAGTTTGTCTCTACTGCAGTGTCTCTTTTGCGCGCGGCTGCGCACCCGCAACGCGAGGGACTCGCGACGTGGATGTGCCGATCAGACGCGGGCACTGTGACTGATACAGACTATGAGCTAATGTTCTGTATTGTAGGTCTCGATCTGCTTACAATAAGAGGTGCTGGACACTTTGCTGCCTCGAGCAATGAAAAACCAAAGGAAGCGTTACAAGTGTTCGTGAATTTCATCCGCAACCAGCCGTACAACACTTCAGTCGATCACGACATTCCCGCTTCACCGACTCCTCCTCCATCAATACCTGCAAACTGGGATGCTGATCCATTCCTGATCAAAAATTTGCCAAATCTGGAGGGCTCCATGAAGTCTAAGCAGTACACTGGGTACTTGAACGTCAGTGAGACAAAGAAGCTATTCTATTGGTAGGTACTGGACGTATATAAGGCTGCTGGTACAATTGATTCGTATTTGAGGTATATAGAATCCGAAAATGATCCAGACAAAGACCCTGTAGTGCTGTGGCTCAATGGTGGTCCAGGATGTTCATCGCTTGAAGGATTGTTTATGGAAATGGGACCATTTAGGTATTTTATCCTGTAGATTTTTACTCAATTGCTGTTTCAAATAGAAGGATCCGTTAGTTAGCGAAGCCAAGAGCGCAGGTTCTGCGCCTTCCGTACCAAAGCATTCAATTATCTTAAAATTCGTTTCTACCGTGTTCTAAAAAGACCCTTTTGCGACGCTACAGTATACTCTCATACCATACTTGAGCTATCGACCGTGCCAGCGTCGATAGATTCGATAGCGTCCACATGATTGCTGGCAAGACGCTAGAACGGCGCTGGTACGCAAGCAACTTAGGGCGCAGCCAAAAATCTGCGGTAGACAGCATAAAAAAACAATGCTGTTAGACGTATCCTTGCATTCAACAAGCCAGAACTAGAGCACCTCCCACTTCCACCGCGGGGTCCCGCAACGGAGAGCTACAGTACGGGCACTATCATCTGCATCAGTGCAAAAGATCCGTGAATGCCCTATTTCTGTGTCAGCGAAAGTTTGGATGTTTGGTATCAACCTTGAGATTTTCAGAGCGGAAAACTTCGGCTCTACTATCACACGTAACAAATGGACTTGGAATAGGGTAGGAAATAGAAGGTTTTATTCAAAATGTCGAAGTCAAAGTTTAACTCTAGGTGGCCAGTATCATCTATTTGGATGCGCCAGCGGGTGTTGGTTTCTCTGTGAATTTAAACTCGAACGGAACTCATGCATACACTGACGACGAAGTCGCTGAAGACAACTACTTGGCAATCATCGACTGGTTCAAGGCAAGGACTTGTATTAAAATAAATTTATAAACAGCACGATGGGTTTAATGCTTCTTCTAGAAATTTCCCGACCGCCGTTTGAATGACTTCTACGTTGCGGGAGAGTCCTATGGAGGTACATACGTTCCTATGCTGTCTGCTCTTCTAGTCGATGACAAAGAGAATTTTCCTCAGTTTAAAGTACGTTGCTAGTTTCACGCGAAAAAGGCTAATACCGTACGAAGGCGTACGATTTGTTATCGCGAAGACAGCCATAGAGCACCTACCATCGCTAGATCGCGACGGTAACAGCTAGTGCAACGCGTACGCGCGCGCTTGTCCCATGGACATCCGCCTTTGTCCGGGACTGGCCTTTAATAATACCCCTGACACGAAACATAATTTCATGGACTCTTTTTCACAGGGAATGCTGATTGGTAATGGATGTGTAGATGATCGTTTGATGTACAATTCACTTATCGGCTACAACTACGATCACACCTTCATAGATGAAATGTAGGTTCAATTGATCCCGTCAAGAAAAGAGTGAATATTTTTAGTGAATACCGTAATACGGTTGATTCCTGCTGCGACAACAACTCAACCTATGCATGCGATTTCTATGAAATGTCTCTAGGAAATGACAGTATCTGCCGTAGTCAAGTTATGAGAATCTAATTTGACCAAAATTTCGAAATTCTCACAAATTTTATTTTAAGTCTTTGGCATTGAATACGGCAAACGCGGCAACGGGCTTAGATCCCTTCTTTCTTTACTATACTTGTCGACTCGATGAGCCTTCAACAACGAGTATGAGCTCAGTGGTGCTGAGAACACATTTCAGAAAAATTGGCTATGAGGAGGTAAACGATAGGGTGCTTCTGATTTTCACTAAAAAAAAATTTCTAACGAATAGGGAGAGGAAAAGACGATAGACTTGCCAGAAATGATTTCAATGAACATATTCAGCTTAACCCGAGTGATACATGTGTTAACTGATATTGAAAATAATTGAGAAAATTGTGTAGAAGTGGAAGAAAGACTGTAAAAGACCATTTCGTAAAATCCAGAACTTAAGGTTTTTTTGTCTTTCTTTAAACACGAGGTGCTTTGTCAAAACTTTCATTATTTGAAAGCACTCACATTGTGAGACATGATATCTGATTATGCATACGAAATTTGAGTAAAACGGACTACTATTTATAGTAAAAAAAAGCGCATGATCAAATTTTTATGAGCTACGGAAGTCATTTTCCTCAGTCTGATAAATTATTTGGGTAGGATCAACAATCAGATTCCAGAGTTTTTCGATTAATGTTAGTTTCTTGATCGCTTACAAAACTCTGTGGTGCAAATACAGCTGCTTAGTTTCGTTACATTTCAAACAAATTCACTAAATTTTGAGAGGAGGCGATTTACCCTGAGTGTTTGCTTTTGTTTTCGGTTCCTTGAGTCATCTAATTTGGCATTATCTAAATTAGTAAATTGCCCAGAAATTCAGTGATGTATTCGCACATTCTAACCTACAAAATTTTTATTAGAAAAAGTCATGCCATTAGGTTGGCACATAAGTTTTGCAACTTTTCCCGTAACTTTTTTCCTATTTTATGTAGCAATCTCATTTTATGGCATCATGTAGACCGTGATGTAAGCTGCAAGTCTGCGCAAACCATTTGATTTTTGGTAACGTAGTACAAAAAATCTCAGCATTTTTGAGAACTGCTGAGAATCGACGTTTCACGGTTTTTTGGCAAACATGAAGCCCTACGAAACCTGAATTGATTATATCAAGAAGCAATTTTAGGCAGCATGTAGCTAAAAGTGGACAGACTGAAATCTGTAAAAAAGAAATGAAATTTAAACACAAATCAAGGTAGGGCGCCTTTGGGAAGTTGAGCAAGTCAAATGCGTCAAGTTTTGAAGGCAATTTGTCAATAACTAAGCTGCGAAAGGTCAGAATTCGCTATAACTTTGCACTATAGGGTAATCCTATGCGGTAATAACACGAATATCATATTCATTTGTCGCTAAAATGAAATTCATCTTTTGATCTCACGAACGAGGCCTTTATGCGAAACGGATCTCATTTTTGTGATCAGCATGTAAAATAAGCCCTACAGGCCAAGTTTCAGCAAAATGTGATGCATTCTAAAATTTTCTCATAGTACCGTAAACCTACCGTAGTCCTCACATAAGATGGTAAAATTGCGTGCGTGAAGCTTACATCATATTCCTTATATTGCCATAAAATGAATGCGCTACGTTCAAATAGACAAAAGTTATATAAAAAGTTGCATTACTTATGTGCCAACCTAATATTTTTCCTGCGATAATAACGTGTAAATAGCAAGATATTGATTTTGTCATTATTTCATTGACTCGGATTTTTTCGTGTAGTTCTCTTTCATGGAGGAAGACGATTTTTTAAAATTCGCTTTTAACACTCCGCTATCAGCAGTTCAATAATGTATTCGATCTTCTGATTACCTATAGAGATAATTGTACATTCCGAAAATTTGTCTCGATAAGTACATGGTGAAGGAAAAAATTTTCCGTAATTCTTCATTTTTCCACAGTTAAGCGATGTGTTCTGGAGTTTAATGAAATGAAAGGGAACAAAATTCCAGCTGAGTGGATTGAAAACAAAGACTGCAGATCTTAAAAATTTACACTTCTTGAAAACCATTTTAAATAATTGAGGTCCTACCATCATGTGCACACTATGATGACTCAACTGTCTATCTTCAAAGAGACGACGTTCGACGTGCACTCAATATACCTGACATAGTACCTAAATATGAAAGTTGCAAGTAAGCCCAGTTTCAGTTTAAAATCCGACAGTTATAGTGCACTAGCGGTGACGACAACATTTGCGCGACGAATGCTGTGCTTCTGAAAGCTCGTCAACTTCCGTGTGCTTCGCGCATAAAAAATGAGCATAGAGCGCAGATTATCACATTTACGTGCAAATGTTGTCGAAAAGCAGGGACACACTATTTCTGCTAATATTAAGCTGTAGTCATCACTTCAACAAGTTCAAAGTTCTCAACTTTTAGTGATGATATCGCGAACGAGTACGATTTGAAAGTGACACACTACCTCAACCAAACGGATATTGTCAAAAAAGTCATTCAAGCTGGCAAAAAGGTAGATTCTCATATCTGTTTTCGTTCCCATTGTCATGAAGATAATGAATTCTTCTAGGTGGCTCTCTTCTACGGAGATGTTGATTCTGTTTGTAATGCGATTCACGGTGCACAATTCGCATTTAATCTCGGTTTGAAGCAAACACAATCTTTGGTACCCTACTTGGATGATCAACAAAAACCACCAACCATTGGATTCGTCACAAAATATGAAGGTTAATCCATTTTTACAATTTTACTATTTCATTTAGCTAATCACCTTAAAGCTGAAAACGTCATAGATACCGCTAAATCACAGGTGATGTCAATAATTTTCTATATTGTTCCGTTCAAAATTAAAACCATTAATCTTATCAGTGCGCAATGTGCATGCATCATCCACATTGCGCGTATATTCCTGGTTTTTGTTGGCCACAACGCATTTACCAGCCGCACAGGTACGGTAATCGATTCATGCCAAAATTAACAAAAAGCCATGGCTAGGAAAAATTGAAAGCCTTCGATTCGAGTTTTTATCTTGTATGGCAAATGCCTGTAGCACTACAGTTTCAGTACTAATTGGTGACTTGACATATGTGCTACACACCTCGCGCCGCATTTCACGACTTCTGCGTATGTAAAATGCCAAATTTCCAATAATCATTTTGTTTTCTCCTCCTTTCATTCATAAGTGTGTGCATAAGATAGTAAGTTATTATTTCTCAGCATTTTGTGCTATTCCTAATAGTCTGTGTCATGAAAACTGTTCTACTAATTATAATGAGAAGTGCCGTGTAATGTGTAATTTACACACTATATCACTGAAGTCTCGACAATATCTGTAAAATCGTCCATTTGAGGTGCAAACGGGACTCAGGGGCCCATTCCGTTCCCGCTCTGCCCATTCCGCATGCTGTTAGCATCCGAATGTCGGTCGATGTGCATCTTTCGACGTGACCTATGGCGTTGTTTGCCTGGCTGAGCCGCTTGCGCAACGCTTTGCGTTACGCCTGCGCTCTCCGCGTTCCGCATCCTCACTCGCGGACTCTTATCTGCTTGCGCTTTCTCACATGATTGACCCCTGCTCGTTTTTTGACCCTTTGGAATATCCACTATAAGGTAGAATGTGCCGATATGTGCACAACAGCTAGCATAGGTTTTATTGCAATGGCTAGTAGGAGACTGGAGTGGTGGAAAATCTGAGTTTGAAGGTAGTTTGGACTCTAGATCCAGTTGAAGGAAGAAGAATTATAAAGCAAAAGGAGATTATTAACCAAAGAAGTTACCAAATTCTTCTGAAACAAGCCCATGATCAAACTAGAAATCCACCAATCAGAAATGAGCAATCCTTTCGCACCAAAAATTTGGATTACGGTAATTTGGGCAGCTACTCAGCGCAGATAGTTTATCCTTCAAAAATTGGCAATAACTCAATTTCGGGTTCCAAGATTATCTCGTAGCCTACCGGTGAGCCACGGCTTTGGAAAAAAATCATTCTGGCATTCATAGTTTTCCCCACCCCTTGCAGAGAAGAGGGTTTCCAAGTTATATTTTAATCAACAGCTTCAAAAACCTGGACTTTCTCGCCAACATTAGCGACAACTAAAAAAGCAGTCACCTCGAAAACGCGAATCATAAGAATTCCGGAGTAAAAAACCTGTGAAAATCTCGTTATTGAAAATGAATCTTTACTATGCTTAGAATTTTTCCAAACCTCAAGCTTTCAAAATCCTTCTTTTCTAGGCCTCGACTTCCTGACTGTACGTGGAGCAGGCCATTTTGTCTCATCGACCAATGAAAAACCAAAAGAGGCCCTGCAACTCTTTGTCAACTACCTACGTGGCACGAATTACAGTACCCCTATCGATCTAGAACCTCCAACCGTAACAAGTACTACCAGTAGCACCACTTCTAGTAGTAATAACAGTACTACTATATGTACTACTATATCAACTATAACGTCATCGTCTTCGACACCAGTGCCCACTACTCAAAGCACAACCACTAGAACACCGACAACATCGTCCGGGTATTTATTTGCTGCAAATTATGCTGCATATCTAATATTCGCCTTGAGTTTGTTAATATGCCACATTTGATGTTGAGTTTTGATATGTACGTTGTTTAGGATAAATACTTTTATGTTTATCGTAGTTTTAGAGTTCGATTGCAGATAGTATGATAGAAGAGTTTTAGGCTCCATCTGAAAATGTGAAACTATATTGAAATTACATTATTTTGATTCATCGAATTCAATCTATTAGAACCAAGTTCAAGAATGCAAATATCAAGCTGAAATTATTTCTCGAAGAAAAAAAAATAGAAACAAAGCTATACTGCGATCTGGAGGGTAGGCCCCGGTCCCAGTATGGGGAATTGCCTAATACAGAAAGCAATAGAATTTCAAAATAGTACTTCTTTATCAACATTTCGGACCATCCTTTTGAATCAAATAGGTTATCAGAAAATTCTGCGGAAATTCTGCAGTCCATTTAGAAAGAAATTTTTTAATTCGTTTTCCATCACTTCGTTGCCATTTCACGAAGGTCCTACTTTTAGTAACTCGCTGGTATTTTTCCATTGCTGTCATTCCCTCAGTCTTAAAAGGAAATGAAAGTTGTGGATAAATCAGAATCCAGCAAAGATGGAAATACTTTCAGAATAAGTCCAATTCGCACTTCACAATAAGAAACTAAGAAACAAAGGTGTAGAAAAAGCGGGGGTCTTTTCGGTTTTCTATGGCAGCATAAGATTTCTGTGTTGTAAAAGGTAATGGCTTAAATATGATTCAGGAGAGCTTTTACCTCTCCTATTCATTGGGAAGTCTGCTAATTGCTCTTTAGAATACCAGCTTCGAGTACCGCCAAAATCTTCAGTATTTTTCCTTAGCCATTGTAAATGAGCAGGCCTTTTGCTCTCGTTTTTGACCCGGTCCTTGCCATTCGGCCCACAGCATCCACCATCGCCAAAGAACGGGCCGGAATTACCATGGATCGATAGAGCTGACCTCTGGAGCAGAATGATGGGTCCAGTCCAGCCCCTGTACACTGCCACGCCTACTGTTAGCCTATAAAAGGGGTCAAACGAACAGAGGGCAGCTCTCGACCTCAATTTATGCGGCCCGGCTGCTGCCTCGGCTGCTTGTCTCTATGTCGTCGTGACCCCCTGCCCGGCACACATCCGTAAACAATTTGCTGAGATCCGTGAATGTACCCACGGTTTGATACGTTTTTGGTTATCACCGGGAATACATTCATCAATCTCAACATTGCTTTGAGTACCCAGAGATCTTGTATGTTCTTCTCTTCTTTCCATAGGTAGGGTAAATTTCCGATTTTTCGCGGTAGAATTGAGTTTCATATCTATTTAGTTTCATCGAATTGGCTTAGCTAAGATCTTTGAATGTGCTTTCAAAAATTATCCAATGAAAATGACAAAACTCTTCTTTTATATAGCAAAGTTCGAAGTCTATAGGAATTAATTCATTGATTCACAGAGTTAAGTTAGCTTTGTTCTGAAAACTTTTGAGCTACAATAGCAGGTAAGATCCAAAACTCTTTTCAAAAGGAGTAAAACCCAGTGTTTCACAAAAATGAATTTGTTTTGGCCTCATTTGATAGTAGATAGCTTGGATTTCTACTGCGCTCTTCTGAACTTACCAAATTTTGGGGATGTTTCCTTATCTCTTTGAAACCACTCACTTCTGTTACTCAGTCATATCTGTTTTGGACGAAGAGGTCAAATTTGTAGGTACTCTTCGTAAAAAAATGCCTTTATAAGATTAAAACGCCATCTAAGCTGGCGCGAAAAGGCAACACAAACTCACAGCCAAGCTAGATTGGCTGCTTTGCTTCTAGAATACATACTGGTGTAGAATTTCCAGCCTAAAAGGAGTTGTTTTTCAATCATATTTTGAGAAGTTCAGGTCTTTGATACCTTACGATAGTGCTGTTATAGAACTATAAACTGTTATACAATTATTTAATGTACAGCAAAGCACAAAACCCTGCGTAGCTGAGTTTATATTGTTTGAGCATAAGTCAGAAAAAAAGAAAAGACTGACCAGGAATTCCGCGTTAGTTTTCTACCTGTACTTTTTTAGTGGAGAAACTCTTGGAATTGCCATCAATCGTGTTACGTCCGAAGTCTCGCTAATAGTCAATCATAGAAAATCACAAATATCAAACTGAGAATGCATGTAATAACAAATTGATAACTGATAGCTAAAAATTAAGAATGAAAAAACACTAACTAACACTCCATTAGATTAACTTACAAAATAGTGGAGATTTGTTCTTGTCCAGTAATACCACTACTCAAAGTTAACTCAAAAGAGTCATAGGATTTCGGAAAAAATGTAGCAGTATGATTCAATTATTTATTTTATGAGACTTTTCACTGAGATTACATTTTCCTCTCTAAAACATCACTGTAACTTTGTGACTTTTGCTTGACCGAATAAGATCGAAAAAATGGATTTTCTTTCTACTTTTTAAAGCTGTTCAGCAAGTTTGTTTCTTCTACTTTGGATACACAGTCGAGTCATTTATGACTTGCTATGTGTAGTGCACAACATGCGCAGCACTCCACGTCTTATGTGCTTACAAGTGCCGATTTCTATGCATTTCTCTTATTTTTCTTCGCTTGTGCAAGAATAAGTGCAAAGGCCAAGATCTTAAATAATTTGTAGAATTTTTTCTCCTGACTACTTACCAGGAAGCGGACTTGAGCTGGAATGTAAAATCTCACAAATAAATTCGCAAATGACTTTGCTCTACTAATTTCAACTTCGACTGTCCTTCATTCAAGAAAAATTTACAGGCTTCCTCTCTATCTACATTATTTGTACCACAGTTCCACTGATGGCTATGAGGGAGCCAGCAAGAAGATTATAAAAAACGACACAAGTAGACCAGAGAAAAGCATTTACCGTAATCAGATTTACACCGGAATTGTACACGAGGTAGAAGATTTACACAGTCTAGTGCACTATCAACATGATAGAAATGGTGAGAATCTACACTCTTTTCTTTGGTTACTACTCTACGTAAAAGTAATGTACAATAATGAGATACGAAGTCATAGATTGAACCTTTTCAGATATATGCTCTTAGCCAAGGACGAGAGCGTTACGGTGGACATCAAATCACAAACTTCTAGGTAGTTTCGCCGTTTCTCAGTTAGTTCCACAAGAGTTGCGATCGCGAGAAGTATGTTGGCCAGCTTTTCAAATCCCGCACTTGGACCCAATTCTTGCAGGAGACACTGAAGGGAGCGATGTTTCAGTATAAATATTTTTTTGATAATTTTTACCTTTCTTAAAGCGGACGTTAGCCTTTCACGTTCAATGTCAATCTCTGCTCTGCCTTGAGGTGTCAGATCTAGATCATCTAAAAAACATAATTTTCAAAATTTAAGTAGACACAACAGCTCGTCTATGACAAAGTATCGTCTTGAAATGCATTTTGAACTTTGCAAAGTCGTCTTAAAAGAAAAACTAGAGTGAAATTAATCATATTATTAATCTGCTCCTTCACTTGCATTAGAACAATAAATTTCACCTATTCAGGTCAACTGTTTTAATAGCTTTCACACAAAGTTTGCAAAAAGAAATAACTCGATAACATCAACAACGAAAAGTAGCCTACAGCACCACCACACAGTAAGTCATTTTTTGTAAATTAAAAGTTAATATTTATATATATATATGCTATCCAAACACAATAGTTTCAGCATTCCACAAGTTCTTTTTATTTTCTTTCGCGGTGAATTTAGCGTAGTTTTCACTATATATTAGGGTGTCTCATAATTTTTTACCGTTTTTACTGCAACGCCGTCTTTTCGTATCTTTCCTTCATCTGGTGTGGCTTAAATAATCATTCCAGGGCAAAGCAAGCTCTACAAGATGGCTAGCAAAACTCTACCTATATCATATCCCACGTGAAGTTTCGAGTTGAAATCGGATAGTAATCGAAAACGAACTTTTCTTTCGAAAATCGTATCTACGACGCAAAATATCCAAAAAATTCTCCATTTATTCTACCATATACTTGACATATGGCATATTCAAGTGTACACTTTTCGAATTTTTTCCATGGCTAGAGATGAAGAAAAAAATGAATGAGGCAAAATGGCAAACTCCGTTTCTAAACGTCCTGAGATCCTCACACGCATGTGATCATATAGCTCATACATGGGGCAGTACGATCATATATTTGGATTTTTTGTAGGTGCCCCAGTTTTCGAGAAATGCTGATGTTTAGGGTAAAAACGGTAAAAAAATATGAGACACCCTATATCAGGAAATGGTTCAAAGGCTGTGCCTGGTTGGTTCAGCTATTATCATGGCAAATAAGGATAAACAAGGCGGTTCGTGAAAATGTTGAAAACAATGTCCAAATTCAAGAATCTTCGAAAGTATTCGAGAAGTAATCATAAATTTTTGATTAAAAGCCGTGCGTTTGTGCTAAAGGTTGAATCTAAAGTAAAATCTAACGAACTTGGACTGAACAATAAAATCGCTTTGAAAAGCGCGAACTGTTCCCTTGTCATGTTTAGTGTCCGGACGAGATCAACTGGGCGTGCGTACGTCTCTCGATAGTAGTTTGCGAACTGATGTCGCCTAAATTACTGAATTTGTGTGAAAATCTTGTCTTACATTCCCTCCTCCCCTTCCCCCACAGCTCCCTGTGGTCCTAAGATCTTACCCGTTCTGCTGCAGTTGCACTCTCAGCGCATTGATGCCGTCTGGGAAAGTAATGCTTTCTTCTTTTTGCTCGAGGGTGTAAAACGCTTGAGAAGCGATCACTATCAAACCTCCAGCATGCGCAAGTAGTTTTTGCTAAAACTTTAGCTTGAACTGGATACTATGCAACATAAAAGACGTTTAAAGGCTAGTCACGGGCAAAGGCGGATGCCCATATAAGAGTGCGCACGCGAACGCGGCGTACGAGCCGTTCTGCTTCTGCTGTTGTGCATCAATTGCGCTCCAGCGATGATAGGCGCTCGACCGCAGTCCGCGACCGCTTCGCGACGATACATCAGCCATTGTCCGAGAATAGCCGTTATTTACAAAGCTCACTTTATCATCTTCGCACAGGTTGGCAAAACTCTGAAACGTTTTAGCGTATTCAACAGCAAGGAACAGGTCGACAACCATCCAGAATTTTATAGGATTTTCTCGATATTGATTGAGTTGCGAATGAGAAAAGTTCTGAAATGAAGCATAACAAGTCATACAGCGGGAAAAAAGGGACTCCTTTATGAGCAGCAGGCCACATCGAGGCGTCTTCTATTGGTCGGCGCGTCGCTATGATTGGTCGGTCTTGAGGAAGGCAACATGGGCGAAGAACCGATTGTGCGCGCAAAAACGCTCGTTTACTTTTGTAACCAATCATGTCCAAAGTGTTATAGGTTTTGGCATAGACATAAAGATCGGTTCATAATTATACGAACACCCCATATTTTGCCATTTCCTGGACTTTTTGAAGAAATGCAAGGAACCAACGGAAGCATGTGAAAGAGTATAGCCGAAAACAGTATACGCAACACAAAAATGCAATTCGCTGTCAAATTTGGAGAAGCATTGTGCGCCGAAGGCTTTTTTGACCGGTTCATAATTATACGAACACCTCAATTAGAGCTCTTTTATCGCTTAACGTTGCAATCTTTTTCGTTTAAACTTTCACGTAAGGCCACGATCCCAAAGTCTGAGAATACCTACTATGCGCTGAACGTGATAATGTTTGAAAAGGGGGAACTTTAGTCTACTTTTAGCTCGAATTGGCTGCGGACCAAGTTGGCCTTAAAAATGCTGGTTTTACTGAAATTTCAAACTTTTATCCAGCTCGTACGGATAAAGACCTTTAAACCTCGACAATCGTGCGCAAAGTTTTGTAATGTCGTAAGCACATCGCGAACTTGAATTTGTGTGTGACGTACAAGATTCTGTATTTTGTCCGGAAAATTCAAACCTAGAGCACATTGTTTCCACCACGTAACCGGCATTCAATAAAAATGAACAAGCGAATCAACGCAAGCAAGCCTTCTCTTACTTTCCAGTTAAGAAGTTTTCAGGATAATTTGCAGAGATTTTAAAAACTCTAACATAGATGTATCATTAGACAAGCGACGCATTACTCCCATCACAGTACTTTGCTGACGGCAGAAGTCCAGTTTTGACGCTCAAAAGTGTGCCAACTCTGTGGTAAGCTTGGGACTGGGTGGGCAACTGGGGCGATTACATCAATACTTTTTGGGCGTTGGACAGCACATTTATGGGTCTATTATCCACTATCCGCACGAGCTGGATAAAAGTTTGAAACCTTAGTAAAACCGGCATTTTTAAAGCCAATTTGGTCCGCAATCATTTCGAGCTATAAAAGTAGACTAAAGTTCCCCTTTTCAAACATCATCGATTCTACACTAAAAAAAACACTACCATACTCTTTCCATAATTCGGCGCGGAAAAGGAAACTTAATCTACTATCCTAAAACTATCAAACTAACCTTATCAAATTTTAGTCGTCCTATGATAGTTGGCTCCTTGAGAATTTTCTTCAAAGTAGACTCACAAAATACAGGATAGTCCAGCCTTCGCAAGTACTTTGTGCAATTTTCTCTTGTCACCTAAAAAAGCCTGATATATGGGTAATCCTCGATCTGGAAAAAGTATGGCTGTACCAAAGAATCAATGATGTTCATAAGTTTGAAATCCTCTGTTATTCGCAAGTCCAAATGGGGGATACTGCATTGAAGTCTTGTCCCTACTGGTGAACCATAAGGAGAGCCCTCTGTATCCGATCTTTTTGGGGAATAAGCTATAATATGAAGTTAACCATTAGGTAATAATTCTCTAGAAAACTTTCAAAAATAGAACCAGTAAAATTACTTTCGACCGTGGTGCAATCTTGTGACAGATCCATATCCGTATTTGTTCCACTGCCCGTTGGTTCATCGCAGTCTTCCTGTATATTCACATTTGCACGGCTAGGAAACTGGATACCTGCGAAGATTAATTGTTTAGGATGACTGAGCAACCATGAAGGCCACAAAATAAAAATACCTTTGGCATTCATCCCAACATTGATGCATTTGGCAAATCGGCACGCTCTGCATGCGCAACGAAAGTCTGAAAAAATATTCATATACAGATTCTCAAGGGTAACTTTGTCCTTATTGAAATTTACAAAGACTTTTGCAGGTTATATCGGAAGTACACTGAAAGAGTGCTAAAGTCTGCTTATGTAAATGCAAGTTTTTGATAGTGGTCTACACAATTTATAAAACTGTGCAAATGGCTTGTTTTTACTTGACAACGTAGGCTGTAGAGTTTTTCAAGGTGTTAGGCCGCCACACATTTTCTTCATAATTCCAAGGTATGGGTCGAATTTTCGAACATTTTGAAAAATTGAGTTTCTATGCCCTCCCCCGGGAATAGTTAGGGTATTAAGTAGTACACGTCACTTCGATGATACAGCAATACTAAATCTATCAAAAAAGGAGCAATCCAGTTTCTCCCATTATTTCGAGTTCAATTTGAAATGCATTTCTCACAGGAAATCGTTTTTCGGTTTCTACAACAAAAGCCACGCAACCACTCCTTCCCCAAATAAGGAGCTTTAGCGCAGTAGATATTTGCCAAAGAATTTTTTTTCCTGTCTCCTGCAGCCCATCCCTATATAAAGAAAGTTTCCCAAACCTCCCAAAAAAGTGAAACGGACAGTGTGAAGAAAATATTTCCAGGCCAAATAGTTCCAAAGTTGATGAGATCTTCGCAAGGCAACATTATAGTAACCCTCGAGTGTGGCAAATGCGCCGCAGAGCACGTCTCGCGTAGCGCGGCCCCGCGCGGAAAGCCCTGTTGGTACCGTTTTTGGTACTGTAGCTCGCATAGTACACCCCCACGCGTAGCAAATATCATAGCACGATATTGTGTTATTGCAAAAGCCCTGCACCAAATCACACTTACCTTTGTTAAATTGACATGTTCCGCCTTTTGTGCAAGAAAATTTTCTGTTATTTATAATTGTTCGGCGAAAAAATGTTTTGCATCCGTTACAGCTGAGTACATCGTAGTGATATCCTGTTGGCTGGAAAATATTTGGCCAATACTTCAAAAAAAAATTCAAGCAGTAAAATTACAAACTAACCTTATCTCCGCAAACTACACATGAATAGATATTACTTTTGCGTACGTTACGAAATTTTTTCAATGGAGCCGTTGCTGGCGGAGTCGAGCTACTTGATGCAGTATCCGCACTATTTGCATAACAGCTTGTCCCACTTTCCAGACTCTGCTTTGAAATTCAGATATAAAAAAGTATATAAGCGCAAAATTTTGCTTACCACAGTACCATCCTCATGGTTTGAAGTTGATTCAATTGATTCAACTTCGCTCAATGGTGTCGAATTCATATAAAGAACACATGACATCCTTTGCATGAGAACCTGTAAAGGGTTTCTTCGAACGATAAAAAAAAGCAAAAACATTTGTAGAAACTTAAAAGACAACGGATCAGATAGGATCAGATACTTAAAGGCTGTAAAAAAAATTTTGCATAAAATAATAAATTTATTCAAAAGCTTCTAATCTAGACTTCACCAGTACAAAAGAATGTTAAAGGCTAGCAATTCATAGATGGGAAAACTAACGTCGTTTTTTGGCACAGTATCTCGACAGTTATTCTCCCTATGAAGATAAACATTGGTACTTGGTATGCTTGAGATTTTTCAAAGAAGGTTTGTGCGATGCGAAAGGTCAACCCATATTCCACAAAAAATTGTCATAGGCAAGGATTTTGAAGGCGGAATTTGTCGAAAATGCGAATTCAATGGTGATTGATGATTATTTAAGAGCGAAAAATCTTGCTTAAATTTATCAACTATATAAGGAATAACTGTGCGAGAACAAGGATTAAGCAATCCATACAAATTTATCATTTGGTAAATTGCTCTAAACTTGCATAAAATCGATGGATATAGCAAATTTGAGCGGATTCATCATAGAATGATTAGTCGGAAATTTATTATTTTCGTCAAAAAAGTGGATTTACATGAAAGCGAACGAAGTATGCTAAAAGCCACAGAATAAAGCAAAATGGAAGTTTTGGTGGATGATGACGTGACAACAAGTTAGAGCGATAATAGTAGGGAAAGTTGTCTCGTTTGCCAAATAGTGAGATGTTGATGAAAAAAAGGACAAACCACGCAAGCAAAATGGAGGGCACGAGTTTTCGGCGTTTTCAGTTTTCTGGGCAAAATCAATATCTGCGAAGCTTTTGCTATAAATAGCTGACAAAGCTTAGAGCTTGATTTTAAAACAAGAAGATATCTCTTTACATGAATAAATGTTACTAAATAAATGCTCTTCTCTAATGGGGCAAGGGACTGTCTTCGTCATCAGCCGCACATTGATTTTCTGCAGCAGCTCTTGAGTTGTTGCCACGGTGACTTCGAGTAGACATATATGCTCATTAGTGTTACGTAGGGACTACAGAAAATAGAGAGAACAAGCAAAGAGGTGCAAAATTTTTTTTAGTATTTTATTGGCTCGAAAGTTTTGGAAATTTTCGCACTAAATCCGTTGTTTCTCTAAACCTAATGTATCAACATTCTCGAATTCTTGCCCCTGTACCCTCTCCCTCTCTTTCTCTCTCGCCCTCTCTCGCCTGTAGCTGATACTTAAGCAAGTGGGAGGAGCCTAGGATCAATGGGGGCGTAGTTTGCCATTTTTTAAGTACCTCGTTTTTCTTGTTGTTCAAACTCCAATCCCATGCAAACTATGGACGTAAGTATGTAAGTAAGTGTATATTATAAATTGGAGCATGTGGGTTTCTCATACTTTCAGAGAAGTTGAAGAACTGGGTTGAGTTCAAATCCTATATTTTAGACTTTTCGCCTGAATTATTACAGAAAACATTAGTAATGCTTTTGATTACCTAGTACTGTAAAGATTACTTTCCGCTCTCCAACGATGTGCAGCATGCCTCAGTCAGTACTTACACAGAAAACGAAACTGTCTAGCTACAAGTCCGAGAACTTATGAGCCAACCTAATAGTTTAGACATTTGTTAAGTTCTAATTTTTCAGCTTCAGTTAAACAAAAAAAGTTCTCTTTAATAATGCATATGAGCACTGAGAAACCCTCTACATCAATTACGTATCAAAATTCCAAAGCATCCTCAAAAAGATCTCAATTAGGCAATTTTGGCAAACATAAGAAGATAATAAGCAGTCATTAGACTGATAGATTCAAAAAACTCGGTGAAAAGGGTAGTTTAGCAATAAAGTTTTATACTATATATTTATTTACTTAATCACTTATCTATTTACTACTTATTTGTTTACTTATTCACTTATTTATTTACTACTCATTACTTAAAGTTTTATAACATATATTTATCTACTTATCCACTTGTTTATTAACTACTTATTTGTTTACTTATTTAATTACTTGCTTATACAAATTGTCCCGGAGTAAGTACACACTTGTCGTCAATATCTCTCTTACCACATAAGCTTTTAGCCTTATGCCATTCTGTAGACCTGGATTCAACTTAGATTTACGTGTAACGGATCATTTTACAGTAATCGAGATCGATCGATCTCGACTACTGTAAAATTGCGATGGAGACTTCTAGTATACAGCAAATTGTGAGATGGTTGTTTAGAAAAAAGGGATCAAGGTAATCCGGAAATTTGTGTAGCACTGCTGATAGGCATGCTGATTTTATTAGACTTCGTATGAGTTTTTCATTCGTTGCAAATGGTTTACACATGAGAAACACTGAAAAAAAGGCTATTTATCTAGCAAAACTGCGATTTATCTGGCATGGCTTATGGAAAAAGCCTTATGGTAAAGTGCGAATTTTATATTCATAATCAGCAACACAGTTTTGGCCATTGATAAAGTTTTCAGCTTTTTAAGTATCCGTTATCAGGCAAAATACAGCCATTATGGTCCAATCCCTCTCAGTTCCTACCGTGATCGTACAGCAATAGAAGCAATGGTTGATTCGATTCATAATCTGAATCTAACTTGAAGCCTGCTTTACTAAAGGTTACTTGAAGCTGAACAGAGGACTTTGTGGGAAGAGAGTTATTAGCGATTTAATAGTGTGTGCTTACTTTTGAGACAGTCTGTGATTATATTTGTCAATTACTTCATGTTATCATGAATCCATTACACTCAAAATGCGCCAAAAATTACTGGAGCAAAACAGACATAACGACCCCTTCACCAAGTCTATAATCATTTCCGTTCATAAACTACCCGCTTTACGCTTGTTGAAGTGAAGAAAACTTAGCTTTTATGTATAAATTTTTTTGATATGTGCAAATAAACATTGTGCTAGACTAAATGAACCTTACATGATTCGTACCACTGCAATTATTTCACATAAGAACACGATTTCCACGCAAATTTCACCAAAATTATTGATTCAATGTTTGTCCAAAGTTGCTATAGATGCTAAGATTTCAGCCTTTTTACCTTAATACTTTATAAAGCTGCATTCTATGGTATCAAATATGTGGCTGAACTGTCTTGATCACATCAAAGTCAAGCAAAAAGCTAATCTGCCGGTTTTCGCACAAATTGTAAATTCTAAATGGTACAAAACTTCTCTAGAAAAGTGCCCAAATCAAGATTAGGAAATGGAAGATTTTGGTCAGAAACTCTCTAGAAAGGAACTCACTAATGTTGCGTTTGTAAAATTGCTCCAGTAACTGTTTCGATTAATCAAATAAGATAGAGACATTTCTGAAATAAGAATACCTGCGAAATATAGCTCAATAATCTGTTCTCCTTGTTCCACGTGTAAAAAATATATTATTGGCACAAAAAAGCACTTTTGATATAAAGCGTAAACTTTTGATACAGGTTCCTTGAAAAAGAAACATTTTGCATCCGTTATCCTAAGCATAACTTCACAATGCGATCACACTTCTATTCCCTATAGAACATTTGAAAAATAAAGTCGAATGTGCAAAAAAAGAAATTATTAAGGCTATTCAATCGACGTTTGTACTTGTTGCTAGGATGCGGAGCAAATGAACGTCATATAGGCTTGCACTAGTTGAGGTAATAGTTCTGTACTTGAACAAAGCTGCAAAATGGCGAGAAAATAATTGTTTTTATTTTGAGGTAATCAGATCAAAGATGTCGTTCTAACAACATGCAAGATTTTAAAAGAGAAATTTTTACGAATAGCAAATGGGGAGAGTCACAACGAAATGCTTCCTTTCTTAGAATTACTAGAATAGGAAATCATAAACTATCTTCTAAGCTACGCAGATTTGTTAAGATATTTATTCAGTCTAATGGTTCGACAATAATGCCTGGACAGACCTGCGGGCTTACAATGAAGATTATGACTTCAGGACAAAGCTCAGTTCTTGACCATAGAACATTTGAAATAACAAAATAGGCTTATGGCAAGAATATGGCAGCTGCATGCACAAGAAATAACATAGCCAGTCCAGTGAGATTAGCAGTTCCTAAAGATAACTGCCAAAAACTTAATCTCTAATTTTTCTGACAAGATAAGGATAAAGTAAAGCTGATAACTATTGTTTATGTGTAGGGCTCAAACATTTACAAGTCAAAATTTACTGTGAATTTTCACCGCCACTGAGCCGTGAACAGGAAGCCACATGCCATGCAACGTAAATTTGCATGCGAAAATGTTGCAAATAAATATAAAAACAACCGAATGGGGATCGATAAAAATGCAAAGATCGGCCGAAAAAATTATTCTGCACGCTATCTTTATCTTAGCATCACTCTTTGGAAAAAAAGTATGGATAATTCCTTTTTATAGAAAAATTTTTGATTCGCCATTTAGTTTTCTGTATCGGAAAGATTCACATGAACAGAGAATGGACAGAAACTACAAAACGACAAACAAAAATGTGACCCTGCTGACATTTTGGGTAGGGGTGCTGCATTTTACATATACATGAGGAGATCGATGCAGAAAACCGGATTTTGTACCGATGACCAGAAGAATCGATCCAAATCGTAAACTATTTACTGTGGGAAACAGACAGGAGCACAACAAAATAGACCAGTATCATAAAGACAAAACCAGGAAATTTATGGGAAATTACTGAGGGTATGAAAGTGACAAAAAGAAGAAATGATTTATAATATTCTCAAAAGGAAGATGATGTTGTTGACGAGGGTAACAGAAAGATATGGATAGGAAGAACATCCTGAGATAATGCGTCGTGACCTGAGCAGCTGATGCGGTTGAGCTTTCACAAGGATTTGGCGTCATATTGCAGATGAAGAGATAAGAGAACGCCTTCAGTGACTGGGATATTTTGAGAAAACGAAGAAATCATTCACAGAATCAGAATGAAACATGTACAAATAGACAGGATTTTCAAAGATTGTCTTGGACATCCAGCACGTTATCGCGAAGTTGTGT